TTCATAGGCAGTTGCTAAGGGAAGACAAGGGAGGGAAGCACAGAACTTGGTTAAGGTAAGTGTGTACATTCCCTTTCCACCCCATCACACCTTCCCCGATGCAGTTTTAACTGCAAGATGAGATCTGATCGTGTCCCATTCAGGTGTACCTCGCAAACATTCGCCTTAAGGAAGTTGGGACGGATGTACTGATAACTGCATATGAGCCTCTAGTAATCAAGTAAGTTTGGACGCTAACTCGGTTTACTCCTGCTGTTGCTAAAGCTATACATTAGCTTGCTGTCTTAACATTTTCTTTGTTTACCTTTGTGATTGTAGCCCCTTGAGTGAGAGTGCTACCGCAGTCGGGGCAGGCATGGCTGTACCTGCTGCACAGTCTGGAGTTATGCCAATGGCTGAAGTTTTTAAACTTGCAGTCTCTAGTTTCAAAGTGCACAACTGGAGTCTCTTTGGTTCTGCTGCTGCTTGAGTTGCAGTTACACACGTCTGGCATTGCTTGGTTGATTATTGGTCCATTTTCGAAGAGCCCGATTTTTTTTTTTCCGTATTCAATTAGTTGCTTAGATGGTTCCTGTTTTAGTAGACTGAGGGATATAGAAAGTGCAGTATTTCTACTTTTCAACTTTTTGTTCTGAATTTTGTGTATAATATTCTGTAATCTCTTTGCTTTCCTTGGTTAAGTTAATGAGTAAAGTATACACTTCACTACAAAGGCTTGAAGTTATAGTATAATGTTTATCAACATCAAGACATTTCTAGTTAACTCACCAAATGATTCGAAAGATTGCAAAGAAAGGTTTTCATAGTGACAAAAAGTAAGGCCAAGCTAGGGCTGTTCAAAATCGAACCGAAATTGATAACCTGAATCGAAATAAAGTTATTGGTTTATCGGTATTGGGTTATTGGTTTAGCGGTTTTGATAACGGTTTTGATTTTTTTTCTTATCGGGTTATCAATTTTTAACAGTTTGTGGTTTTTTCTTGACGGGTTAACCGATAACCCGATAGTAAATTAAATAATTATATTTATAGCATTTTGTGTATAAAGTCCTTGACTTATGTTTGGTTTCGTCTCAAACGCTTGGTTATTCTACAATGTAAAAAATGTTTGCTTTTGAGCAAGATGTAACTTGTAAACTCATGTGCATGGTTCATTTGGTTTGTCACCTTGTTTCCAAGTGATTTGCAATATTTTTTTGTGTGTCAAATCTTAACTGTTAAACCGATAACCGAACCGATAACGAAAAATCGATAAGCCAATAACCGATAAACCAATATCTTAATGGTTCGATAACGGTTTAGCATCTCTACAAATCGATAACCAATAAGCCAAACCAATAAACTTCAAAATCAAACCGAACCGAACCGACCGATAAGAAGCCCTAGGCTACCCCCGCTTGTACTTGTCTTTGTTGAGGATTTTTTTTATCTTTAATATTTAATAAAAGACTGTTAAACAAACCGCAAATTTTAGCATTTTAGTCCAACTCATTTCATCATAAATAACTTTGGACGGATCAACAAGCCATTCATTTATCAACTCAACCTATATTGACCGTCTAAATTCAGCTCAATCTGCCTGATTTTCACTTGGGTCATTCGCAGCACACATGAAATGCCCCTAATTAGGACTTGTAGTGTTTTTATAAAAAAATATTTGCCCCTCCAATTTGTGGTCGTTAATTTTTGCTCTTCAACACTTTAAGTTTTGTTGAAAATATCGCTAGACACATGTTACCCCTTATAAGGCAGAAGTTCAGTTTTAAAACGTTATGTCTTAAAAGTTCTTACACTAAACTTATGCCCCACGATACAAAGTTATGTTCCCAAAGCATTAGTTCAGTTTTAGAACTTCATGTGTTAAGAAGTTCCCCACAACCAACGACTCGCGTCTTTGGTCAATCACATGTCCAGATTCTCCCTCCCTCCTCACCTCTCTCTCTCTCTTTCAATTTATCTAGCTCCAGCATTTACTCTGTTTGTATTTTTGTATGTGAATCGTTAGTCCAATGTTTTAAAAGGAAAAATGGAGACTAAGGTCCCATGCTTTATAATTCTTACCCTCTATCTTGTATGTCACATAGATTTCTTCCACTAGCAGATCCCAATATGTGAGAGGTTGGCTATAGTAGTGCTGAGAAGAGGTAGAGGTAGATTGAAAAAAATATCGAGGAAATGTGATTAGATAGTACTTGACACACATGTAACTTGCCGAGGACATGACGCTAGATAGGAGGTTTATAGTGGTTGAAGATTGGAGTAGAATGTTAGTAGGTAGTCGAGCCTAGTCTAGTTTGAAATATAAATTAGGGATTGTAATTATAAATTTTTAGTGGAATGATTTGTAATTAATTATGATTAGAATAATTCTAATTAAATTTTCGAATGATTTCCATTTTTGCATAACGTGGAGACTTATCAATTAATTTTATGGTTCATATTGTGTCCATATTTAATTAAGACTCAGAATCCTATTTTTGGGAGAAAAGGAAAGAATAACAAGTTATGGGTTTATTTTTGGGTGGGGAAAAACGTGCCTACATAAGGCGTCTTTCGAACCCAAAAAAGAAATTTCGAATAATACTTACCCAATTAAATATTGACAGAGTTCGGTTGTAACTTTGGAATTGCTACCAAATTTAAGAGTTAGTGTTTCAATTAATTTTGAAACAAATCCATCCGTTAAAAGTTTTGAAATAACAAAATACATGAATGTGAGTTGTAACATTCATTTTTGTTTTAATTCTACGTTATAGACTTTTGTAAGACACTTTTAAAATTCTACGTTATAGGTTTTTGGAAGTTAAGTTTTTCTTTTCAATTTATTAACCTATAATAAATACTATTTAATTAAAAGTCTTTTCTTGCAAAACTTTTGTCCTATAAATTGAGTTTCTTTTGGTTGAAAAGAACAAGCACTCAAAAACTACTTTCCCTTGAAATACAATTGTGAGACATTCATCAAAAGGTGAAATCACCAATTCAAGAATAGAAGAGCAACATTCTTGAATGCTACTTGTTTTGTGGCTTAGTTGAATCCCAAAGATAGAGTTGTTATTTATTCTTCTGATTGCTCGTGGGAGAGACTCCAACTATCTTCAAGAAACATATTAACGTGCCTCTAAGCCAAACAAATTTTATTTTGGATTCCTTATATTCTTATCATTCTTGTTCAGTTGTTCTAACAATTTGAAGATAATTGTCTTTGTGACATCCACATCAATAACAAACAGTGTTCCAAATTTGCGTAATCCTAATTTTGAAATATTTGATGGAAAAGACTTTCTAGATGGTGTGAAAAGATGGAATTCTTTTTAAGACGATTAAAGTTGGCATATGTTCTTGAGAAACCTTGTCCTGAGGCTCCCAGTTCTGAGGTAGCAACGGACGAGACTACTTTGATTAAAGAACAAATTGCCAAATGGCAAGATGATGATTACTTATGCAAGAATTATATTCTTGGAGGGATGTCCAATAAATATTATGATCAATATTATATTAAGTGCAAATTTGCTAAGGAAATTTGGGATACTCTTAAAGCTATCCATTTAGCCGAAGAAGCGAGTTCAAAGAAATTTCTTGTTTTAAATTATATGGAGTTCAAAATGGTTGATGACAAGTCAATCACTGAACAAGTACAAGAATTTCAAATATAGCTAATAAAATTGTTATATTTGGAATTGCTCTTGATGAAACTTTCATGTTGGTGCTATTGTCTCAAAACTTCCTCCATCTTGGAAGGAGTACAAAAAGCAAACTCTTACACAAGAAGGAAGATTTGACTCTTGAACAATCATTGCAGCACTTGTAAACTGAATAAGAGACACAATATCGTGACAATAACATCTTGAAGGAACCCATTATGAAAGCTCATGTTGTTGAAGAAAAATCGATCAAGAAGGAACATGCCAATAATAAATTTCTAAAGGCAAAGAAGAGTAAAAATTTCAAGCGTACTAATTCCAATTCTAAGTCGAATGAATGTTATTATTGTCATAAAATTGGTTACTATGCACGTGATTGTAAAAATTTTAAAGCTGAAAAGAAGAAAGAAAAGGCAAATAACCATACAAAAAATGAACTGGTGGCAACGGTCACAAAAGCATTTGTAGCGGGAGATCAAGTGGAATGGTGGATAGACACTGGTGAAACTCGTCATATATCAGGTAATCGAAATTCTTTCACTACCTATGAATTAGTGGGGGGCGATAAAGTTTAGCATATGTGAAACTCATCCTCTGCTAAGGTTGTGGGAAAAGAAATTGTTGAATTGAAATTCACTTCCGGAAAGATGGTAACATTGATAGACGTATTGCATGTTCCTGATATTCGAAAGAACTTGGTGTCAGGTACGCTTCTTTCGAAGCATGGTTTTACAATAATTTTTTAGGCAGATAAATTTATTTTGTCTATTGATTTAAAAAAAAATTATTTTATCTAAACAAGGCATGTTTGTTGGAAAAGGTTATGCGACAAATGAAATGTTTAAACTCAATATTGAAAATGAAAATATTTCTGCTTATGTTGTGGATTCTTTAGATTTATGGAATGAACGTCTTGGTCATGTGAATTTTATATCCATTCAACTTATGGTAAAGAATGGATTAATTAAATACTGTGGAAAGGATCATGTTGCTAAGTGTATTACTTGTAGTAAATGTAAAATAAAAAGAAGCCTTTTAAGTCTGTTGAAAGGATATCCACACTTTTGGAGTTAATCCATACTGATATTTGTGAGATGGATTGTTTATCACGTCATGGAAAGATATATTTTATCACTTTCATTGACAATTACTCTATTAAAGCACATGTTTTATTATATTTAGTTGATTATTGTTTGACATATACTTCAGCTAGTAGTCTAGCACTCCTATATCTCTTCAAGTAGTTTAGCACGTTTAGCACTCCTCTTTCGGAGGAGTTAGTTTAGGCAATTAGTTAGTCCATTCTTGTATATAAACACAATATTGGATCAATGAAAGAAATCTTGATCTCTTGATTTTATATGGTATCATCGTCACGTCGAAGAAAAAGTTCATGGTCTTGAAGCTTTTCGTACAGTTCTTCATATGTTATAGGGGAATCACGAGCACGGATTGCAGCAGAAATACCATGAAACTCTGCACCCAGACCACTAAGGATCTTTACTATAAGTTCAGAGTTGGTGACGGGGGCACCAACAATAGAGATTTCATTAGCAATAGAGCGAACACTTTGCAAATACTCGGTGACTGGTTGGGAGTCTTTGGTCAGACGCATCAGTCGATCACGCAGACTGAAAATTCTGGTTTGAGACTTATTTGCATAAGCAGTGTGCAGGGCATCCCATGCTGTCTTAGCTGAGTTAGCAGCGGCAACCGTTGTAGCAATTGTTGGATCAACAGATGCCATAAGTGCGTTTTGAATAAGTTGGTCTTGCTGAAACCAAAGAGCAAACGCAGGATTGGCACTAGGGGCTGTGCCAGTTGTGATAGTGCGAGATGGGGAAGGAGTAGACCCATCGAGATGACCACAGAGATCATGACCATGCATAAGCATGGAGAATTGTGCCTTCCACGTTGCAAAATTGTGACTGCCATGTAATTTTATGGGCAATTGGGATGCAGGGTTAAATTGAACGATCATTGCGCCGACGTTGTAATCAGCATTAACAACACGAGTAACGTCTCCCATATGTGGAGGGTGGGTGGAAGAGAGAAGGCAAAAAAAAAACAAATCTTACTCTTTAGAGTATAAGGTATACATATGTCTTTCCATTAAAAATAAAAGACGAGGCATTTGAGACTTTTAAAACATATAAAGCAGAAGTTGAAAATAAATTGAGTTTGAAGATTAAATCAATTAGATCTGACAGAGGTGAAGAATATTTAAAATAAGATTTTATTGATTTTTGTGAAAAAAAGGCATTGAGAAATAATTGACTATGTCTTATACACCACAACAAAATGGTGTAGCAGAAAGAAAAAATAGAACTTTCATCGAAATGGTTAACTCTATGCTTTATGGAACTGGTATCACTGAAAATTTGCGGACTGAAGCCTTATTTTCTGCATGTCATATTTTGAATCGAATTCCTTCCAAGAAACACAATTCATCTCCGTATGAACTTTGAAAAAATCGAAAGCCAAATATAAATTATTTTAAAGTATGGGGTTGTTTGGCTCATGTTAGATTACTAGATCAACATTTGACTAAGATTGGCTATAGAGGAGTAGATTGTGTATTTATTGGTTATTCACAAACCAGTAAGGCTTATAGATTTTTGAATCTTAAGACCCCAAGCCCCTCACACAATTATTGAATCGTTGCATGCTAACTTTTTTGAGCATATATTTTCTAAGTAAAAAGAACCTTTGGAACAAGATACAAGTTCTTCTATATCTCCTCTTAAAAGGAAAATAGTTGAGCCTTTGGAAGAAAGTCAATCAAGACGGAGTGCAAGATCAGCCAAACCAAGAGACTTTGGACCTAATTTTCAAGTCTATTTAGTTGAAAAGGATTATGAAAGTTATGCTGAAGCAATGTCTTCATATGATGGTCCTTTCTGGCATGAAGCTATTGATGATGAAATGCACTCTATTATGTCAAATAATACATGGATTTTATCAGACCTCCCCCCTGGATGTAAGTCTATTAGTTGTAGATGGATCTTCAGAAAGAAATTGAAATCTGATGGTACCTTAGATAAGTACAAAGCTCGCTTGGTAGCAAAAGCTTTTATTCAATTGAAAGATATTGATTATTTTGATACCTTTGCACCTGTAGCTTGAATGACTTCTATCCGACTCTTGATTGCTTTAGCTGCAATTCTTAGTCTGATAATACATCAAATGGATGTGAAAACTACATTTCTGAATGGAGATCTAGATGAAGAGGTTTACATGAAACAACCAGAAGGATTTGTTGTTCCTGGTCAAGAACACAAAGTTTGTAAGTTTTTTAAATCTCTTTATGGATTAAAACAAGCTCCAAAACAATGGAATGAGATATTTAGAAGAGTAATGATTTCTAATGGCTACTCAATCAATGGTGGTGATATTTGCATATTTAGCAAATTTCAAGAAAAAATTGGTGTTATAATATGTCTTTATGTAGATTATATGTTGATCTTTGGAACTGATATTGAATGAGTCAAAGAAACAAAATCTTTGCTAGCTTCTCAATTTGAAATGAAAGATCTTGGAGAAGCTGATGTAATTTTGGGTATTAAAATCATGAGATCAGCGAATGGCTTGACTATTACTCAATCAAGTTATATTGAAAAAGTTCAAAAGAGGTTTGGTCACTTTGATGACAAACCTGCTCCTGCACCATTTGATCTTTGCATCAAACTAATGCGGAACTCTAGTGATGTTCTTGATCAGTTGACTTATTCTCAGATTGTTGGGAGTCTTATGTATGCCATGCATTGTACCAGGTTGGATATTGGTTATGCAATAGGGACTTTGAGCAAGTTTACTAGTAATCCTGGAGTTGAACATTGGAATGCCTTAATTCGTGTTTTAAGATATCTGAAGGGTACAATTAATGTTGGCCTACATTATTCTACATTTCCAGTTGTTCTTGAAAGCTATAGCGATGCTACTTGAAATTCTGATCCGAATGACTCTAAATCTATTATTGCTTGGATTTTCACTTTGGCTGGAGCAACGATCTTTTGAAAATAAAAGAAGTAGACATGTATTACTCACTCAACCATGGAGTCAGAATTTATAGCTATGTCTTCTGCTGGAGAAGAAGCTGATTGGCTACGATCTATGCTGATAGATATTCCTTTGTGGAGCAAGCCAGTACCACCTTTAATTATTTATTGTGATAATTAAGCTGCTATATTTCGGGCTTCAAGTGATTGCTACAACGGCAAGTCAGGACAAGTTCGTCTCAAACACAATCATGTGAGGAGATTGGAGGAAGGCATGATATCACTTCAATATGTGAAGTCCAGATTTAATTTTGCGGATCCTTGTCTAAAGGGTTAGGCAAAGAGTTAGTGGTGGAAACTTGTACTGCGATGGGAATAAAGCCTGTTGTAAATTAATTGTACTTTATGGTAACCCTACCTAATGATGTAATCTTGGGTTCAAAGGGAACAACAAGTAAAGTTACAATTGTGAAGCACATCAATAAAATTCCCATTTTCAAAATGAAATGAAATAAGCAGATGTGCATGATTGAGATTCTTTTCTCTTAATAAATTTATAAGACCGATCTCGGTTGGAGTTAGTAAGAAAACTCTTGATAATTTTTTCTGATATTCCTACTAAAGAGAAGGATGATATTATATTCTCTTAATAAGTCTATAAACCGATTTCGGTTGGAGTGTGTAGGAATACTCTTGATAGATTTACCGATAATTTGTTGTAAAGGAGGATGAGATTAATTTCTCTTAATGAAATTCATAGAGTATTTGGTCAGAGTATGCAAAGTTACTCTTGCTGAATTCACCGCACTAAGTGCGACGTTGAGGCTGCTTCAACAAGATTTTAACAGGGAAATCTTAAAGCACTTGGCTAAAAGGATTCAGGACACATGGCCGTAAGGTGTCAAAGGATTTCAATTTTAACCGGAACATAGTGATATGCGTGGAGTATTTTTCTATTTCATTCAATGAACCACTTAGTTCAAGATTCGTTCACTAAGTAGTCAATGATTTAGAAAGCCTTCATTAGCTAATGGTTCAAGTCCAAAAGACACCATTATTGATGCATGTTGCTAGATTAATGTCTCAAAATAATATTTGGATTTTTCAAAGATAAAAATTTCTTAAAACAAGTGTGGGATTGTAAGAGTTAGTGTTTCAATTAATTTTGAAACAAATTCATTCGTTAAAAGTTTTGAAATACCCCCCGTTTTTTGGTTCCCATTGGGTTTACCTTGTTCACAGGTCGACCCCATGGCAGCAAGAAAAGGTGATCTTGTGCTATACTCCGGTGATATCTTTCCTACCGAGACACGCAAACTCCCATCGTGTCCCATATCACATTCCGTGAAAATACATGAATGCGAGTTGTAACATTCATTTTTATTTTAATTCTAGGGAAAAGGCATAAGTACCCCCCTAGACTATGACCGAAATTCCAGAGACACACCTTAACTAAAGTAAGGTCCTATTACCCCACTGAACTCATTTTTTATATAATTTTGTACACCTTTTAGCTTATGTGGCACACTCCATGACTCCATGCAGTTCAAGCGCGTGAGAGATATTTGGATGCCACGTAAGCCAAAAAGGTGTACAGAATTACAAAAAAAAAATGTGTTCAAGGGGTAATAGGACCTTAGTTTAATTAAGGTGTGTCTCTGAGATTTCGGTAATAGTCTAGGGGGATACTTGTACCTTTTCCCTTAATTCTACGTTATAGACTTTTTGTAAGACACTTTTAAAATTCTACGTTATAGGTTTTTGGAAGTTAAGTTTTTCTTTTCAATTCATGAACCTATAATAAATACTACTCCCTCTGTCCCAATTTATGTGACTTACTTTCCTTTTTAGTCAGTCCCAAAAAGAATGACACATTTCTATATTAAGTAACAATTTAACTATAAAATGTCTATTTTACCCTTACTGAAATAATTTGCAGCCACACAAATTTCTATCATTCATTTTGGACCACAAGTTTTAAAAGTCTACCTTTTTTTCTTAAACTCCGTGCCAAGTCAAAGTACCTCACATAAAATGGGACGGAGGGAGTATTTAATTAAAAGTCTTTTCTTGCAAAACTTTTGTCCTATAAATTGAGTTTCTTTTGGTTGAAAAGAACAAGCACTCAAAAACTACTTTTCCTTGAAAAATAATTGTGAGACATTAATCAAAAGGTGAAATCACCAATTCAAGAATAGAAGAGCAACATTCTTGTTTTGTGGCTTAGTTGAATCCCGAAGATAGAGTTGTTATTTATTCTCCCGATTGCTCGTGCGAGAGACTCCAACTATCTTCAAGAAATGTATTAACGTGCCTCTAAGCCAAACAAGTTTTGTTTTGGATTCCTTATATTTTTATCATTCTTGTTCAGTTGTTCTAACACAAAAGATTGCAAATCGGGGACAAAGTTGTTAAAATATATCTGCTCAAATTTTGACATGCATTTTTTGAGTTAAAGTTTAGTTCGTTGTGCATGTTTAACGTGTTCGTATTTTTTATATATCATTCATGTAAGCAAAATGTATAGAGACAGATCAAGGATTAGAAGTTTTGGGGTTAAAATTTTAGGACAAAAGAGAAACATGTATTTCTTGAGTTAAAGTTAGCACGTTGTGCATGTTTAACGTTTTTGTGTTTGTTATATATCATTCATCTAAACAATATGTATAGAGGCGGAGCCAGGATTAGAAATTTTGGGGTTCTAAATTTTATGACAGAAGAAAAGCATGTATTTCTTGAGTTAAAGTTTAGCATGTTGTGCATTTTTAACGTGTTCATGTTTGTTATATATCATTCATGTAAGCAATATGTACAGAGGTGGAGCCAACATGCTTCCTTTAAAAAGGAAAAGAGAATTTTTTGTTGATAGTGGGGTACAAACCCACAACACTAGTGTGTAAAACAATTTCACCACTCTTTCTTACCACTGAGCTGGCAAACAATGTTGTTAGGGGATTCACAAGTTTATATACATGTATATTTATTTAATTTTCTAAGGGATAAGGCACAAGTACCTCCCTAGACTATGACC